CTTCATTATCTATAGTAATATCAGCATAGTAACGATTGTTTGCTTTTAGCCAATATAGTGCCCGGGAAATTTTAGCACGCCAAAAATTGAAGTCCCTAAAAGAAGTTGAATCTCCAGACTGACGACGCACAATCAGTATATCTAATGAAGATGGATGCCGAGGAAGGCGAGTAGTAAACTCTCGTATGTCCTGGGGAAAATTTATAACATTACCACGATACCCCAGTTGTCCTCCGCGAAGTCTATATACAGACATTACTGGAAAAACTTGTGCTATAAGCATCTCTTCTATTTCGGTAAGACCTTTAAGTTCTTTGGGCATATCACTAGGGTCCATATTATTTTCTGCTGAGAATTTTTTTGGCGTACTTTTCTCATTGTAACAACACCTGCATTCACCCTTAACTAACACTATTGACGGAAAGCACTTATTACATACAGGACAAAGAGTGTGTTTAAGATTATTCATTTTAGTGCGAAACTTTTTTAATAGATCACGATCTATTTCAGTAAGTTCAGCAGAGAAAACTGCTTCAATATTTGTGGTGTTAATGTCAGTTTGATGATGACTACAATTCCTCTGAGTGTTTATAATTGGATCCAGTTCTTCAATTATCCGTGACAGATTTTGTTGTTTAATTTGTTCACGAAAATGACGCTGATAATTTAGATATTCTTCATGTTGCTCATTAGTTTCCATTTCTCTCTCTTTCCGTTTTCTATCGCGTTCACGTGACATACGCACTTCGCACTCTTCACTGGTCTTCTGCATTTTTTTTTGCCATTTTCTTTCGCATTCATGAGCAAGTCGGGCTTTACGTTGTTGGGATGTTTTACTTTTTTTGCTTTTACGCTTTCTGCGAGCCTCACGAGAAACACTATTGTTTTTCATTCTTCAGCACTATGTCAATTCTTAAGCTGAATTCCATCGGATGCACGTACGTATATACAACTTTAATTCACGTGTTTGCATTGTCATTGGTTAGTTAGCGGTTAGGGAGATGCACCTTATTATTGCATTCATCACATATTATAGCTTATGTAAAATAGTGTTCCACAAAATGGTTTCAAAGTTCCGGATTCGTTAACGGATCTGGATTGGATCCACTATTTTTAAGATCTGTCGAATTCAGATCCAAATAGAGATTCGGTCCGTCATTTATAAAGCGTCAGGATCCGAGGATCCATCTATTTAAACACAAATCCGAATTTTTAGATCAAATCCGGATCCTTAAAAATATCCATCAGATCCGATCCGTGTGGAACACTATATGATTTTCATAATATTAGGTTAGGGTAGATGAATTTTTTATAATATTATGTGATTGCATTTCCTAAATTATAGTTGGAAAAAATGCGCATTTTATAATAACATGCGCATGTTATATAAAATGCGCATGATATTGCGATATAATTTGAATATAAAATATATGCCCTTTATAACGCATTCCCTGTAAGTGTTCAGTACAATAATAAATGAGCAGATGATTTTATTTTTCCCCTCTATAAGTTGCCATTGTGGGTTGCCTATAACATGTAGCATGCTTAACCACCAAATCTGTATGATGTAGAAGGTGCTACCCTTCACTTGAGTAAGTTCTATATTTCAAGTCTGTTGTTATTATTACAGTATTGATTTACTATACTATCTTACACTAAGGTTGGGCATGGGGCATGATTTCAAATTATCACACGGGCACAC